ATATGAACGATGCTGCTTTAAATAAATATATGAATGATGCTGCTTTAGAGAGCTTCCAAACACAAACTGGTTGGAAAGAAAATATTCATGAAACAGAATTTGTGGTCCAACACTGGCTTCATGTGGTCACACATTAAACTGCATGTGCTGAAGTCTGGACAGAAACATCAACATATTGAACTGAAGGTTTTAAATTGGACCATAGACAACCTCCATCTATGTCTTTTGAATCTTTTATAGATATTTCAGTGGTGAATGTGTCTGACAGCTGAGGACTTTATGAAAAACATGTAGTTTCTCTGCAGTGTAGGTGTTCATCAGTTCATGTTTCACTAACGTGTTAGTTTACATGCAGCTGACACAGTCTGGCCTGGAAACAACACGCCAACCAACGGATGGAGTTTATTACTGTCTGAACTAAATCCAGCTAAGCAGAACTGAAAATGTTACATTGTCATTTATTTATACTATAGTATTAATTTTCTGAATATTACACCGGAATTAACGTTGTGAATTAGCAACGCATAATTTATGTATTAGTACCCATAAATGTTTCATTCAACCTTTATTTCTACAGGTTAGTCCCACTGAGCCTCGAGGACTCATTTACAAGAGAGACCTGATTTAACAAAGAATGATGACAACAGTGGACAATCTATACAAGAGGTGTACAGTTTATTTTTTTACAAATTAAAATAAAATGACAAAAAAAGTAGCTTCAGATCTTTTTACAAGATATTCCAGGAAACAGGAGAAGGTCCTTTTGTCTAGTTCAGTCCTCACTGAGGGAACACTGCAGGTAATGATGTCCTGAGAGCGCACGCTGTAGCTGCACTCACACAGAGACACGTAGAGACACGTAGACACACGTAGAGACATGCAGAGACATGTAGAGACACGTAGAGACATGTAGAGACATGCAGAGACATGCAGAGACATGTAGAGACATGTAGAGACATGTAGAGACATGCAGAGACATGCAGAGACATGTAGAGACACGTAGAGACACGTAGAGACACGCAGAGACATGCAGAGACATGCAGAGACATGTAGAGACACGTAGAGACATGCAGAGACATGCAGAGACATGTAGAGACATGCAGAGACATGCAGAGACATGTAGAGACATGTAGAGACATGTAGAGACATGCAGAGACATGTAGAGACACGTAGAGACACGTAGAGACACGCAGAGACATGCAGAGACACGTAGAGACACGTAGAGACATGCAGAGACATGTAGAGACACGTAGAGACACGTAGAGACATGCAGAGACATGTAGAGACACGTAGAGACAGGTGGGGGGGGCAGCTGTTTTGTCTTTAACGTGGCGTCGTCTTTCAACTGGTCCTGCTGAGGAAGCAGAAAAAGATTATTACTAATAAAAACACCTATTTTTAGTTACTAATCTGGAGTCAGCTCCTGATAGTGACACAATCCAACAGGACTTTGATTTGAAGTTGACACTCGGCAACAAAGAGCTGGAACATTTACAGGAACTGTTTCCTGCGAACATTCAGCGTGAACGGCTGCAGCTGAACCATTCAGCTGAACTGAGCTGTTAAGAGTCAGAACATTCACCAGAAAGAACAAGAAAAAGGCTAAACAGAGCTAAAGCTAAAGCTAAAAGGAGAAAAACAAATGATTAAAAAAAACTAACTCAGAGCTAAAATATATTAAAAGGCTGGAAAAAGCTAAAAAAAACAGCAAAATGTTAGAGGTACCTTAAGAAAGTTCATTTTCAGTTTTATTTACCTCCATGCACGTTAACAACACACTTCAGGAGAGGCACTGTGAGGCTAATAAGCAGGTGAAGAGAACAAACAAACAAACAAACAAACAAACAAAAAGTCAAGTATTCAATAATCGTGCACAAACACCAATACAAACCACCGCTAATAAATATAAATTCATAAAAACATAAGAATTAAAAATGCTCATTTTAAAAGAGAAAATGTTCAGTTTCAGTAGAAAACATTAAAACATGAAGCTGAACGATGTTAAAAACATTTTCAACTAAAAACACGTTTGTCTTTTCAAAGGAAACATGATGAAAGTGTCACTTGGTTTCAGTTCATCAGGTGTTTGTTCGTTGCCCTTCATGAAGGCACAAGATATTCGTTTGGGCACTTTATAATCCAGAGCCTCTGAAATGAAAGATGTAATGGATGTTAGGGTGCAGCAGTGAGCCGGAGCAGGGCTCGGTCTACTTGCTGGAGCGTGCAGCTTGTAGCAGGGATTACTTCCACCACAGAGCTATGCTGCAGCTGGGGGTGGATGGGTCACACCACTGCCCGGCCTGATCTGCCTCCCAGTCTGCTGACAAACCCAGTACCACAACTGGACCGTCCTGAGTGCAGAGGTGCACGACAAACTGGCACAAACATGCACAGAAAAGACGAACACCACAATAATGACGGCACAAACACTTTTCATGTTTCTGAGTGAAATAAATGCAAACGAAGAGAAGAAAACACAAAATAATCTTTTAATATTTCATATTCTGAGGAGTTTGTTCAATAAAAGGCATTATTTATCCCTCAGGTATGGTTTGCATGGACCACATTTCTGCTCTGTCATTCTTGTCCAGTTCATCCAGTTTAATAATGTCTCATTTTGGTCTGAGCTGAACTTTTAATACTGGTTTACAATAAATGAGTATTATTAGGCTGGAGGCTGCTGCTTTATTGTGTTAAAGCACAATAACTAGCAAAATCCCTCCCAGCTTTAATAAAACGCAGTGAAAATGTGAGTGCTTTACTGTATCTGATGTTGCAGTTCATGTGTAAATCTGAAGTGGTTTTGATGAAGGTCAGTAAAGATCTGCAGAGTCTGCTGGATGCTGCGACTAATTGTAGCATTAGGAGCTGAACGATGAAAGTTGGGACTTGCTGTTTTACAAACGAGTTCTTAACGTGAAAAACAACATTTGGTGGTAAATGCTCTCACCCTTTGAAAGGTCGCAGCCACTAAACCGCACATGATGGAACCATAGATATGGAACAGTCTGGAAACCGAGCAGGATCAAGAGGAGACCTCAGGGAGTCTCAGGTTGCCAGGTTTGCTCCTTATCCGTTTGCATTTACGATTAGCGTGTTCATATTCGGTTTACAGTTACTCAAAGAGACAGTATAGAAATGAATAAAATATTTAACCATGGGTACAGTTAACATTTATTTTTTTATACTTTAGTGGAAATTAAGCTAATTTTGGGTTAAACAAAAACATAACTGGTTTAAAACAGAGCAGACGCTTTTAGTTGTGTGGAAACGCGTTTTTTTTAACCTGGCAGCTTCCGTAGCGGTCATCGGACTTGACGCAAACTCAAAATCATGGCGGATGAAGTTGAGCAGGTTTGTGAGGATTTGTTCGAGTATAACTTTATTTTTAACACCGTTTTAGTGTAACTGTCTGATACAGGTTGTTGTTTTTATAAATTTGACTTATTTGAAGGGTGTATTGTATATTTTTGGTGTTTACAAAATTCTTAAAAGCATGTGTGGGCCTGTGAAACCGGCTAGCCTGATTAGCCTAACTAGCATGTATGCTACTACCGTCCTAAATCAACGACTCGTGTTTTAGAGACGATCTGTCTAAAAATCCTTGGTCAGCTTGACTTGTTTTTTAGCAGCTGCTATAATGAACCATTTTGCTCCCATTCGTTTAGTTTCATCTTCAAAATATGACAAAGATAATCCAGTTTGACACATTTCTGCACCAACATGTTTGTTGTAGCCGAAAGGCAGTGATGTGATGTGCAGCGTCGACAGATGTGAATTAAAATATAGTTAAAATGAGGGCACGGGACAGGCTCACTGAAGTATTACAGTACAGGACTGTTATTAATTATAATAAAAATGTGCACGACATAAACAGCATTTAAATTTAAAACCCAACAGCTGCATGTCCTGAGAAATGCTCCATCTTTGGTTAATCCTTATTTGAAACTGGAGAACAAACAGTCACATTTATTTACAGAGCACATTTAAAACGGAAACTGGCACCAAAGTGCAAACAAATAACAACAAAGTAATATAATTTAGTTTTTAGTCACAATATTTTTTTACTAGACGGACCAAGCTTACCCTAATTTATTAATTGGTGTTAACTGGAGTAATTAAGCAGATGCATAATTACAGTTTCTTTGCTCTAGTTCTAGAAATGCACTTGTTTCTCCTGAAAATAGAAACTTACGAAATGAATAAAGGTTATTTAATGAAAACTCAAAGGAGATGGGAAAGACCCAGTGTTGATTTTTGACCAATTTATTACTAAAGAAACGTGAAACAGAAAATGTCAGGATGATTCCAAGCAGCACAATCTGTCTGACCTAAGATTGTAGGACGACTTAAACTAAACTCAGTGACTAAAATAAACTCAGTGAATAAACTAAACTCAGTGAATAAACTAAACTCAGTGACTAAACTAAACTCAGTGACTAAACTAAACTCAGTGAATAAACTAAACTCAGTGACTAAACTAAACTCAGTGAATAA